GCTGATGCTGGGGGGGGTTAATGCTCCTTTCTTGGAGAACGGGAACCTGGAAAATTGTTCTATGTGTCTTGTGTCTGTTGTGCTTCCCTAGCCCCTCGTCCTGGGGTGCAGAGCCTCCCCTGGCAGGTCTCGGCTGAATGACTGCAGGCTGGATTAGCCCCTTCGGGTGTCCAGAGCCCCCTTCTTCTTCCCTCTGGTGGCAGTTTACGAGAGCTGAACACGCTGAAACAGAAATCTGGGTTAGAAAAGCGAACATGTTGGCACTGGAAAAAGCCTTTCCATGGCATTGGGAGCCTTTCCAAACAGGAAGCTGCCCAAGACCGATTTTATTCGTGAAAGATTAGATGCCTAAGTAGTTACGGTTATGGGATACTGTACGAGGCTGGAAAACTTCTCTGTGATTTCAGAGCTTGGCCTGAGATGGGATAGTTAAGTGACTGATCTGGGCTTCTCAGTCAGCCGCTGGTAGCTGCTTGTGCAACGTACCAGAAGCATGCAAGTGAAGTGAGACCATGTTAACTAGCCTTTTAACCTGCCAACTTCTAAGAATCATTAAAAAATTATTCTTATATGTCACTCCTCCCCCCATACCATCTCAACATCCCCCACCCCAAAAAGCGATGGTATTTTTGCTGAGTGTTTTTGAGGTAAAATCTGGGAACACAAACATGTTTTGGAGGTAGTTTATTAAGTGGAAAATACTTACTGATCGAGTTCTTTTAAGCAGATATCTCCATGGTAGCTTAAAGATCTGCTGCACTCAGTCACATTTTTTGGGGGAGAAAAAAAAATGTCTTTCTGTTTTGATGAGTAATCTAAAGAATGCTTTTAGATAGGACGGTTATACTGTCTATGGGAACAGAGGTTCTGATGGGTGCCTCTTGAGTGAATCTTAACATCGCTTTGTTTTAATGCCCAGGCTTTCTGCTGAAGGTATTTCCTATTTGCAACAGTGACAAAAAGGATCACAACTTGGTTGTTCCGGTTCCCAGACAAGTGCTTGGCCCAAACTGACCTTTTTTATTCTGGGAGCTAAGGTGCAGGGTTGTGACCTGGGCTGCCTGAGTTTGGTATGTCATCCACTGCTCTTGCTATGAGTGTGATGGCTTCCAAGGAATCAGTGAGGGCATCTTAATTCCCTCAAGCAGTGTTCACTTGAAGCTTCTAATTGCACTCTTTTCCTCTTTGTGCTCATGCAAAAAGCTCAGGAAAAAGGAGGCAATATCTCTTCCAATTCTTTCATTCCGGGACAGTTTAAACACCAACATGCTGTTGCTGCTGGATCAGGCAGTCTCTGTTGCTCTTTCTTGCCTCTGTGTGTCTCCTCTCCCATATATCAGTGCAGTGCCCTGTAGATATTAACTCGGGTCCCAGAACACTGTAATTAGCTTTTCAATAGCACTATTAAGTCCAGGCACATTGCCATGCTACTGTAGCTCTAATAGTTCTGTTTCTAGGGCTAGCTCCCTCTGAGTTAGCGTAGTTATCTCTCTTGTGTGGAACTGTACTTACATTCCTCATTAGCCTCCTTTCTTTTTGGCAAGTCTATTAAAATTGCTGGGTGACCCTTGGTAACTGACTTATTACAGTGACCTTATGTGCTCATTCATAGATAGAGTAACATTGATTTGATAGAGGTGTTTGGTTTCTATTAAAAAAAAAAATAATTCTATTAATACTTAGCGTTAAACAAACTGCCCCTTCACAGTTATCTACAGGTAAGAGGTAATTCTTTGGAAAGCAGAGGTGTTTAAAAATACACTTTCCATTTTTTTAATTTTTTTTTTCCTTCTTCTTCTCTACTATAGTTACAAATCAGTGGTTCCTTCCTGCTGTAAGAGGAGATATTCCTCCAGGCTGTGCAGCACATGGATTTGTTTGTGATGGCACCAGAATACTAGTTTTTGGAGGAATGGTTGAATATGGAAGATACAGTAATGATTTATATGAATTGCAGGTACGAAATGCATTAAGATGTTTCGGTTCTGAGGACTACCTTAGTTATCTATTTATGAACAAGCACATTTTGTATTGCCAACTGCAGAGGAAAGTTAGATGGGCTCTGCTCCAGGAAGAATAAACTAAGTAGATTCTGAAGATGGAGAAAATCTCAATAACTTTGAAAAAGAGACTTCCATCTAGTCTGAATAAAGTATAAAATATTTAACATTTTACGAAGGTTAGCTCCTATTTGCCCCTTCAGATGTATATATGTATATATATCCTAAGAAAAGCCCAGCATTCCCTTAAAAATAATTCAGGAAATAAACAAGTGTTAATATTATCTATATTCTATTGACTGTTAACAACTATAAATGAAGATATTTCTGAATATGTTTTTCCTGTCTTTAAGGCAAGTCGATGGCTCTGGAAAAAAGTAAAACCTCAAGCTCCTTCCACTGGATCACCACCTTGTCCTCGACTTGGTCACAGCTTTTCTTTATATGGTAACAAGTGCTATTTATTTGGTGGCCTGGCAAATGAAAGTGAGGATTCAAATAATAATGTTCCCAGGTATGCTGATTTGGTTTGAACTACATGTTTTTAAATTACTAGATGTGACAACTTCAAAGAGGAACATTGTAGAGAGGCTGTACTGCATATCAAGTACTCACATTTGGATTATTTGTGCAGTGGAAGGGTTACATGCTAAGAAGCTTACATATTTCTGCTAATCCCACAGCACTGACTGACAGCCCTGCCACTTTTGAAGAGAAACCTGAGTAGACTTTGGTCTTTTTCTTAGTATCTTGGGTGATGTTTTTAAGAATGGCTTGTTTATTAGAATTACTTAAATCAGCAAAGTCTTATGATTCACCAGGGAATTCACAAGAGAAGTTTCCTTTATAATGCTGTGGAAAACAGTCATGAATTCATGCGGAATTTTTTAAAAGTAACAGCTGAAGTTGCCTTTATTATTGGCAAGCACTGCTATAGTAACAGTGCACCATCAGCAAGTTTGCCAGTGGCACTAAGCTGTGTGGTGTGGTCAACACACTGGAGGGAAGGGATGCCATCCAGAGGGACCTTGACAAGCTTGGGAGGTGGGCCGATGTAAACCCCATGAAGTTCAAGAAGGCCAAATGCAAAGTTCTGTATGTGGGTTGTGGCAGTCCCAAACACAAATACAGGTTGGGCGAAGACTGGATTCAGAGCAGCCCTGAGAAGGACTTGGGGATGTTGGTGAGATGAGTAGCTCAGCATGATCCAGCTTCAGTGTGCACTCACAGCCCAGAAAGCCAACTGTATCCTGGGCTGCACCAAAAGGAATGTGACCAGCACGTCGAAGGAGGTGATCCTGCCCCTCTGCTCTACTGTGGTGAAACCCCCGTGGAGTACAGTGTTCAGATCTGGGGCCCCCAATATAAGAAGGACATGGACATCTTGGAGTGAGTCCAGAGAAGGGCCACAAAGATGCTCAGAGGGCTGGAGCACCTCTCCTATGAAGACAGGCTGAGAGAGCTGGGCTTGTTCAGCCTGGAGAAGAGAAGGCTCTGGGGAGTCCTTAGAGCAGCTTCCAGTACCTAAAAGGGCCTACAAGAAATCTGGAGAGGGACTTTTTACATGGGCATGTAGAGACAGGACAAGGGAGAATGACTTTAAACTGAAAGAGGGGAGACTTAGATTAGATAGTAGGTAGAAATTCTTCCCTGTGAGGGTGGTGAGGCACTGTCACAGGTTGCCCAGAGAAGCTGTGGCTGCTCCATCCCTGGAAGTGTTTAAGGCAAGGCTGGATGTGGCTTTTGGGG